CTGGCCATTTTGAAAATACAAATTTAAAATAGCTTTCATGTAAACCATGAGTAAAATAATGATGCTTTTTAAATACTGTTTCTATGAACCAGTTCAAGTTTGTATATTTAATTAAGCCTTAAAAGACCTCACACTTATTGGCAAATGTTTATAAAGGAAGTATAAACTTTTTAATAACTTAGAGACACATTATTCAAATCAAGAAATATCTTACCATTTAACTATTTACTTCATGTATAATCAGTACTGAAATATTAATAACTTAGAGACACATCACTCAAATCAAGAAATATCTTACCATTCAACTATTTACTTTATGTAGAATCAGTACTGAAAGTATTGTCGAAGGTTTCATGTGCACTTTCAAATTTGGAAAACTTTATATCTTGAAGCTAAAAGTTCACCTGGTCATCATCTGATTTGTCTTCCAGTATCTACAGGGACTATGAAAAAACTTTCTTGTTTCAGTCTTTTAACTTTTTACAATAGTGTTTTGGGACCACCTAAGCCTTACTAAAAAATGATCTTCCATGGTTTGCTACAAAGCAAGTATTGCAACTTAAAAGGGAAATGCAGATTCCCAACCCCCCCCCCCCCCCCCCTCCTCTTCCCCGCTCTGAAAAAAAAAAAGCTCTAAGAACGAATATCTTCGAGATATAAAAGAGAAAAGAAATTAATATAAATAAAAAACAATAGTTAAAAAATTAATTTGATATTCAAATCTAAGCTACACAACTTGAATGGGATATCTAGAACTTATAATTTGTGCTTCTGAAGTCGCTCTGGAGGCCACTTATCCTGCTATTGCTCTTAGCCCTCTCTCCCATGCTTCCTTGAAGAGATACCTAGACAACAAAATATATATACTTTCTACATCCGATTTCTTTCTCTTAACCAGGCATCTTTCGCTCCCGAAGCTGAAAGTACAAGTACAAAGTTGGATTCCCGGACAGGACGACCTGACTGGGCCGTACAGTCCACGATATCTCCTGTAACCGCGAAACGTCCTCCGCCTCCTGTTGTAAGACCGTCTGCTGAAGCACTTGGCAAGAGAAGAGAGGCCAGACATCCACCATGTAAGAGGATTTGATCCATGCATCTTAAGGGCCAGCTTATTTTCTACCAATAAGAGGCTGGGGAGAGGATGGAACAAATAGAGAACCCGAAAAAAGAAAGGAAGGAAGGAAGAAAGAAAGAAAGAAACGAACAAACAAAGGAAGGAAGGAAGAAAGAAAGAAACAAACAAACAAACAAAGGAAGGAAGGAAGAAACAAACAAACAAACAAACAAACAAACAAACAATGAATGAATGAATGAAAGAAGTCATGTTTCATTCACTTGTAGTACGTAGTCTCCCAAGGTCATCCATCCATTCTTAAGAACCCGCTTTTTATCCAAACTNAAAAAAAAAAAAAAAAAAAAAAGGAATTAAAAAGACGTACATAAACGACTTCTCCTTTTAATTTTTACTTTTAATATCTGCTATATTTTTTCTTTTCTTTTGCAGCTCAAGACTTGTTTCCCACTCAGCCCTGGGCAAGACCTCCCGACTACGATTCAGACGAAAATTCAATATAATGAAGCACTAATAAGTTTCTAAACGATAATCGTAAATGTAAAAATGCGTACCGCCTAAAATAATATTCTATCTGTAGATAGTATGAACGTGAAAATTGGTGGTAAGACAACATTAGACGGTAATTAAAATTAGTATGAGCGGGGCGAGACCGGGGATTTACCTTCTCGTGCACACTAACTACAAACTCTTAGCCGCTTTCCAACGAAAAATCGAAGGTCGCAAGTTTGATTAACGGTAGCCAAAACGCCAAACGTTCTGGAGTCGGCAGGTCACAGAAACATGACAAGGCCGGCTAAAACAGCGTGAAAGCACAGGGAGACGGGAAATTAAACGCATATTTCAACAGTTTTATCGATTTTAACATGGCACTAACGGGTAGCAGCCGTATCCTCAACAATTTTATACAAACAGCAAATCTTTCTGCGGGAACCGCGAGAAATAGGTACCTTTTAGGGTTCATTTTCAAAACGCTCTGTTTTATCTGTATATCAAGAGAATATGAATATGGCAAGCCAAACAGGACAAAAGTATGGTGACATCAAAATCACATGTTGAGAATAATGCATCACTGTACGAGAATAAAAAATTGCTATGCGAGAACTGAAATCATCATATGAGAATAAAGAATTACTATGCGAGAATAGAACTCGCCATACGAGTTTGCGAAATCAACGTACGAGAATCAATAATTATCATACCAGAATCAGAAACAAAATCACTATGTGAGTTCAGGAAATCACTATACGAGAATATCGATTAGCAATCACAAAATATCGATTGAAAAGTCATCATTTAGAGCATGAAGCAAGATGGCGACTGCGTTGACTTCTCGGTAAAGATTTGACAGAGTTTTTTTTCATCTTTAAAGCGACATCGCTGATGGGATTCGTGTTTCATCTATTAATTTAAGATAGAGATGATGTTCAATTGGCGATCGGCGGAAGACGACTTGAGGAACATTTAAGTGTACTTGTAGCCAATATGTAATTCCCAGGATAGATTTGATTCATCTTTGAAAGGTTTACTGGAGATATTGACTGATTGTTTAGCTGTCTTGTTGAACCGTATTTCACACATTTTAAGCGTAAAAAGTCTTGGGAGTAACGAAAGAATTGCGATACTTCTCCAGTTCAATCCTGTCTCTCACAGCTCTTCAATTTGATCTTTTTATATATCGTACGCTGGTCTTCCTCCGGCACTTTGTGACAAAGGAACAATTCTCAAGTCGTCTTCCGCAGATCACCAATTGAACATCATCTCTATCTTAAATTAATAGATGAAGCAATCCCATCAGCGATGTCGCTTAAAGATGAAAAAAACTCTGTTAAATCTTCAGAAGTCAACTCTAGTCGCCATCTTGCTTCATGCTCTAAATGATGACTTTGCAATCGATATTTTGTGATTGCTAATCGATATTCTCGTATAGTGATTTCCTGAACTCACATAGTGATTTTGTTTCTGATTCTGGTATGATAATTATTGATTCTTGTACGTTGATTTCGCAAACTCGTATGGTGATTTCAATTCTCGCATAGTAATTTCTTATTCTCATATGATGATTTCAGTTCTCGCATAGCAATTTTTTATTCTCGTACAGTGATGCATTATTCTCAACATGTGATTTTGATGTCACCATACTTTTGTCCTGTTTGGCTTGCCATACCGCTTCCATCTTTGATTAGCATACACCCGATTACGAAAAAACGTTGTCATACGAAAATTCTCGACTTTCACATCCCCAAAATGCCTTGCGTTTTGGGGGGTTAAGCAATCAAAAAACTGTCCCAAATTGAAAGGTTTCTTCATTGAATTTTATCTGTACAATACTGATTATCAGTTTATTCCAAGTTATTTTTGCGTGTACAGATCATCAAGAGTTTTGATCTTACAGAAAATGTATTGACTTACGAAAAATTTTTTAAAATATACCTTAAACGTCTTCAAGCTTCTATCTTTTTATTTTTTTTACTTCTTCATTTTATCTTTGGATCCCAAACAAGGTATTTTCAACATTGTCTGATCAGTCTTCAGCAAAATAAGTGGGGTTTTACCCTCTGGTTACCCCCCAAGGACGCAAAGTATTATGGGCAAAGGGGATGTGAAAGTCGAGAATAGGACGTTTGTTTTTTAAATTATTCTTTTCTCATTAAATGTCATTATTTGAAGTGACAACGTGAACTTGCAACGTAAACTGACAAGTGCATTACAATCAATACAATAAACTTTATTAGGTTCCCAATGTGGGATCTTCATACCTAATTTACATTATAATTAATTACAAAAATGCATGAATAAAGAAAAAAATACTTAAATATAATAAGATATATAATGTAAGTGAGAAATCTAAGTACTAAGGACTAGGAGTGTAACCAACGTTCAAGATAGTGAGACTTCAGTTTTCTTTTTGAAAACAAACACTGATGCAGAATTTGTGATTTCACTAGGAAGGGAATTCAAAACAGAAACCCGCCTCTATTTAAAAAAAAAAAGAATTTTTGGCCTACATTCATAATAAAATTGCCATTTATTAGACCGTATGTCAATGTTACAAAGGTTATTGTTTAAACTTATAATGCAGACTGGAGACGGATCTTCAACTATATTTAAAAGAGAAGTATCATCAGCAGTATAAAAACAATCAATAAGATAGAGAGAGAGAGTAATGGGCCAAGCATCGAGCCTTGATTTTTAAAAACTGATCGATTTCGAACACGTTGGTATCTATCTGAAAGATAACTACGAAACCATTTTAGAAGTAGATCACTAATGCCATGCCAATTTTGGCGAGGTTTGAATAAAACAATGACAGCAAAAGAAAAAGAAAATAGTTCTAGCCATAAATGGCATTCAACCCAGGCCTTAACATACTTGAGCCAGCAAATTCCAAACAGGAATGAACTTGCTTGTGGTTTTTATGAAATAATTGAACCATTGCCAGTATCGGACCTATCGTGCTGCGCTCAAGTAGGAAATTTTGAACTTTTGACAAGATATTCTACTTCGTTTCAGTCCATAGGTTTGAGATCTATAACATATAGAATTTGGTTGCTTATAATAATTCTTTTATTATTATCTTATCTTATTTTGGCCTCCTGCGCAGCAGAAGCGCCTCACAGCGGGGTGTTGCTAAACCCCGAAACCCCGAATTTCTGAGTGGTCGAGAGTCGAGAGTACCAGGTCGAGAGTCGAGAGTCGAGAGTACCAGGTCGAGAGTCGAGACTACCCTTTATCTGAGTATCCAATTATAATAGTTTCTATGACTTCTGAGCATAATTAAAAATTAATTTCCTCAAATATAAATCAATAAATATAAATGAGAGCTTATATATAGAGAGTTTAGTGTATTTAGTATATCAGTTCTGCAGTGTTCGGCGCGTAAGAACTTGTTTACATGTTTCTTGGGTCCATCTGATGATGTTGTTTTGGCGCAAGAACAAAATTAACTGCTCATTTTTCTTACAGCGAGGACCCTCATCAGTTTTTTTTTTTTTAATCTATGGAATAGGTCACGGTCGCCTTGTCACGTTGTTCTATTTAGGTCTCAGTCACGTTTTAATCCCAATTATCGGATTATGACAGTACAGCTGAGTGATGACATAAAACTTTCCAGATATACGATTCTTAAAACATTGTAAACTGGTCTTAAATAATATCAGTTGCTGTCAAAATCAAAAGATTCATTAATCTACTACTTTTAACTATTATATTGTAAAGTATTTGTACACTGGTGTTTCGTTTTGGTACTGTATCGGTGTTTCGGGGTTTAGCAACACCCCTCACAGCGGCTGTGCAGGAGGCTAATCCGGCTTATTTAGGATGTGAGTAATCATATCCCGGCTTATTACAAATAAAGCGGTATATATTGCTCATTTACCAGGAATGAGATCTGTTTACAGTACGGATAGAATTACACTACCGTTATGTATTTATAAGCTGGGAACTTTAGCTAGAAATAGTCCAATTGTAGGATACTGTCGAAATTGAAGCTAGCTCAATCTCTTTGAATTGCTCGATACGGTAGGTACTTTGCTATCTTATCATGGTTTATGAATGCATTCATCGATTTTCAGAAATCAGTTACTTATCCCCTTAGTTCTATACAAACGTATTCTCAAAACATTATTACATCACTTTATACACTCTTTCACTGTAAAAAAAAAAAAAAAAAAAAAAAAAAGAAGAAGAAGAAGAAGAAGAAGAAGAAGAAGAAATGCACTTCAAAGAAGGTTGATGGAACAAATGGAGATATGAACGTACGGCTCAAGTACGTTAAGGCCTGTGTTTGAGGTCATTTGTGGCTAGAACTATTTTATTTTGCTGTAGATTTTTGTTTAAACGTCGCTAAAATTAAAAAAGGCACATAACTTTATGGGCTTAAGGTTTTAGGATGAAAATGTTTTAGAGCACGCACCCAATTTTTTGAAAATTGGGTTGACGGTTATCATGATCATCTGTAGATAAAACTCTATGGTATATTTTCATTCTTCCTAGTTAGAGGTATATGAAACTGCCTTGACACCTGAACAACCATTGATCATTTAGGGGATATTTATCAATTATTCGCCGAAGGCGAAGTGAATATCGGGGAATATTTACCGAGATGCGAGTAACTTATTTTTATATACAATAATTTAACTATAAAAACAAACAAACTGAATCTTAAATTTTAGTATGCATGACAAATTCACGCAAATTATTTAGCAAAACTTCTAGCAAAACTTTTAGGCCATACTTCGTTGCCTTTTTAGTATTGATAGGAATGGCATTTACTTTCATTTTTTTCAATTTCCTCAATTTACTCCTCGAATTAACCAATGAGCGCGCGCGTTCTTAGGAAGTACACAAGTTGGTATATGCTAATTGTCTATATTTGGTTGAACGAGCTGATCGCGTGACTTATTTTGCATAATGTCCCTTAAACGAGCAATGGTAGTTCAAGTGTTAGGTAGATTCATATACATCTTCTGCAGAGAAGTGAAAATATGCCATAACATGATAAACATCACCCCATTTTGATTCTTATGGAAGTCAGGATCAAGGTCACGTGACTGCCTTATCTCAAAAATTAAGAATCTTAAGTTCATGAAGTTATGTGGCCATACCAATTTTGGTAAGGATTGAGTAAGAAAAGACAACATAAGAAAAATACAATGGTTCTAGTCGTAAATGGCCTTCAACCCAGGCCTAACACGAAGTACTTCACGTTAGGGTTAGGTGACAATTGGTGAATTTGTCGCGTGATTTAGTATTCGCATTTCAAGTGGATTCATTTCAGTCGTCATGTTGTAAATCAGTATACAACAACTTTATTCCCATTTCATTAATAATGTTACAATTATAATTGCTTAACCGCAGTTAGCATAAAAAACTATTCGAGGCGGAAGCAATTCGAGAAAAACAAAATTAACATAGCTTAATTAATACAGAAAAGAATTGTAGAAAAAGAATGAAACGAAACAAAAGAAAAGGGACAAATTAAAGGGACAAACTTTCGAGAGGTATATATATCTTATGTAATATACATATATATATGTGTATATATTTCTATTTATGGTAAGTGTGAACTTTAGACTAGACTTAATTGGCAAAAAGACAACAATTTTTGCAGAGGCATTCCTTGAAAAAATAAGAAATAAGATTAAAATGATGTTAATTTAACTATGCTGTAATCGATGTTTTCACGAGATAAATGATTTGTTCCAATTCTATATAATCATTTGCTTTCTCTAAGATTTGTAGGAGAAGGTTTCTGATTTGAGATTTAAATTGTGGCTTCCTTAAAAGTTTTAGTGATAATGGAAGACTGTTCCATATTTTAGGATCCATAGATAGAAAAGAACGCCTTAATATCTCAGTTCTGACACTCTCAATGTAGAAACATTTGTTTGAAACTGATCTTGTTTTGTAGTGATGAATATTTTCCGACATCGTAAATAACTTATTCAAATTAACAAGGGCTGCATTATTAAATATTTCGAACATTATGATGGACATACGTTCAAAGTAAAGAAAATTTAAAGGTAGAGATCTTGCCTGGAGGAAGAAAGGAATAGCATGTTATTTTGTGCTAGAGAAGTTTATTATTGTATAGAACGGTCTGAACCCAGGTGAATGAATGTTAATTGAAGTATAAAATTTATTAGTCGAAGAGCGCATTTTGGAGTACGAGCAGTCGATTTAGATTTGTCTTGGCACTGTTACCCCAGGACCAAATTCCATAGTAAATATAAGTAGGATTTATCAGTGTTTTATAAATATTAAGAATGGCTTCACGTGGGATGTAATGTCTTAGTTAACTATGATACCTATAGATCTACTTATTTTCTGTGAGATATAGTCTATATGCTGTTTCCAGGATAGCTGTGAGTCGATCAACACCCCTAGATACTTAATAAAATCTTTATGTTCAATTTTTTCAAGTTTGTTTAAGTTATCTGAAAGATAGATGGAAGGAATAAATGGAAGTATTTTTTGCCTAGTTCTGAAAATTACGAAGTTAGTTTTTTTAACGTTTAACGACAACCGATTGATTCGTAACCATTCCGACAAACATTCCGTCATGTTTGTATTGCAGATCAATTGATCAGTCATGAAGTCTTCATACACCATCCTGGTCTTCCTGCTCCTGATTGTGCATGCGTCAGCCTGGTGGTTTGATAGTTCGAAGGAGAATGCCGAAATTGCAAACAAAAACTACCCTGACGAACTCATCCAGCGTCATGTCGCAACATCACTTGGTGATGAAATCCCAAACATGAGGGATGACCTCATCTGCAGGAAGAACGCCGGCCAGGGTGAAATCGAGCGACACATAGGTGCTTGGACCACTTTAAAAAACTGGGAAGTTGATCCCAACAATGATGAAAAGGAGGCAGCCGACCCAGCGGACAGCCCTAACGAGTGAACTGTCACCAAAAAGAAACCGGGATCTTTAACTGACAAATTAAAATGAAATAATTATGTCTAATAAAAATACCTTGATTTAACAAAATACTGTGATTAAAAACCTTGATAAGCCAAATGGTGTTTTTGAGGTTTCTATTTCTTGGGGCTTTTAACTGTAACGTAAGCCAAAAAGGACATATCCTAATGAATATATAGTCACTATATATCATCAGATTGGCCTGGTAACATCGATCCGATTGGCACTGGATTACTTGGCATGTTATCCAGTGTAAATCTGATGTTACTTTATCTCAAATAATGATAAGAATTATTTCGCGGTTCGTCAAACCAGAGGGAAGGAAAAACTCGAGTTATGATTTCGAGTTACGATTTTTGAGTTACACATTTTTCGAGTTACGCGATCGGACACACCCATGTTTTGGGGGCCACGCCCACTTTGACATCCTGTGCGTAACTCGATGACCAACAGCGTTGAAATCAAACTCGAGTTATGTAACTCGAACCCAACAGATGGAACCTTATTTTTCGAGTTACGCGCTATTTCAGTATCTCCATTCTAAAAGTGGACAAATATTTTTTCGAATTAAACTTTTATTTTTTTCGTGTTATTTTTTAGACTTATTTCATAAGTCGAGGTGGTTGTCTCGCTCAATTATTCATTTATATTTTTTATTCGCATTTCTTCATTTTATAGTGTCTATATTTACTCGCATTTAATACGTTCTATCCGTATATATCATACAGATATATATTACTCGAATATCATTACATATTTTCTCTTTTTCTCTTTCCGCGACATAGCTCGATTGATAGCTACCGCAATATAAAACCGTTAAAACCATAAAACTATACAGTCCGGTCATTTCTAGTCAATAAACAGTACAATCGCTGCCTTCCTGTATCATTTTTTTAGCCCGCCCGCAAGGGAATTTTTTATTTGATTTGACTTGATGTGTTAATTTTAGTTTTAATTCCGTTAATTGATTGAGAAGAAAATTATTTTCGCTTTCGAATTAACTTGAAAAAAATATTTGTCCACTTTTAGAATCGAGCTATTGAAATAGCGCGTAACTCGAAAAATAAGGTTCAATCTGTTGGGTTCGTGCTGTGTCTGTAAACTCGAAGAAACAACTCTAGAACTCTGAATCCACTTATTTATTTAGCCAACAACATGGCGTAGAACTACACGAGGTTCAATCTCTAACATACTACTGCGCATGCGCTCAGGTTACATAATGATTAATATTCATAAGACATAACAGTTCGAGTTATGTAACTCGAGTTTGATTTCAACGCTGTTGGTCATCGAGTTACGCACAGATGTCAAAGTGGGCGTGGCCCCCAAAACATGGGTGTATCCCTCGCGTAACTCGAAAAATGTGTAACTCGAAAATCGTAACTCGAAGAATACCTTATCTCGTCAAGCCAAGGCAAAGTGAAGCTAGTTTTAGATATCAAGGGCGGATCGAGGGGGGGCAAAGGGGGGCTGAAGGCTCCCCCCCTTCAGCAGAAAAAACCATGCTTTTTTATATTGTTTTCCGTTGTGTTGACGGAAGAAACTCAATTACCCCCCCCCCCCCCCTAAAATTTTGGCTGGACCCGCCCTTGGATATCTAGTGTCAGCCAGACTGAATTAATTCACGCCTACAGCCTGTGTCAGATATATGAATCTGGGGGAGGTCAAGAGTTCTCAGAGAGGAGTTAGCTTTCTTGCCGTAATTTCGAATGTGCTCTATTCATTTTTATTTGCATTTTTTTAAGTAGTACATGTTTCCCATCGAGTCTAGAAATCATAGCACTTGTTAGAAATGCTAACTTTTCTCTCGTGGACAATAAAGGCCTAAGTAGTCACGTACTCAGTCATACGACATCCAGAATTCATTTGCATCGATCTGTTACTTCTTCAAGCTTGTTTAGTATAGTCACAGGGAACCCGGATATATATTTTTGGCTTCTTTTAGAAAAGTAATTTTGCTCTTTGTGGGTTTCCTGTGTTGTGATCGGTTTCCTATTAATGCTGTAATCAGATCTGCGCTGCCAGATCGGCGCTGTAAACTGATAGCCGATAAATTCAAATCAATAACCTATGGTGTTTTGTTTCTTATGGGTTGCCTGTGGTGTGTAACGCACTTTCTAGTAAGTAGTCAAAAGAAGAGAAGGGCTGCAACAAAGCAAGTGTCCGATTTAAACCCCTGGACTATGGCAAGCCAAACAGGACAAAAGTATGGTGAGATCAAAATCACATGTTGAGAATAATGCATCACTGTACGAGAATAAAAAATTGCTATGCGAGAACTGAAATCATTATATGAGAATAAAAAATTACTATGCGAGAATTGAAATCACCATACGAGTTTGCGAAATCAACGTACAAGAATCAATAATTATCATACCAGAATCAGAAACAAAATCACTATGTGAGTTCAGGAAATCACTATACGCCGGAATATCGATTAGCGATTACGTAGTGACCGTTTGTACATGGGTGTATTGAGTTACGATTATTATGTAATGTCATCAACATATGAAACGTGATCGTTTTACCGATTTAGCATTACCAAGCCGGGCTCCCTGTGGAAATGTAATCAAAAAAAACTTATCCAAATACGAGTCGCCCCAGGCTCCGAGTTAGTGGTCGTGTGAAATGCGTGGCTACGTAGTCGCAGCTCCCATGATGCTCTGCCTCTTTTAGCTGGGAAAAATGGCTCTCGAAAGGTTGGTAAAGCGATAAGATAGTGATTCAATCCATGACATCCAAAGGAAATAAAGAAGTTATCAACTTACGTTACTCTTTAAAACTAAAATATGAGGCTTAGTTTATGTTTTGATCAGAGTTTTTGTGCATTTTTCGGTTTTGACGGTCGTATATTTTTGAATATTCTTGGACGTACTCGAACAATCATGGCGACCGACATGCACTATAAAATCAAAAATCGAATCCCTGTGATTCATTGTGAAATTAATTAGAAAACTACACTCAACGCATCTCAAAATACAAAGCAAATCCTTATTTGAAACTATCGCTTATGATGTAGATGTTTTAAATTGCTAAGGTTTTACGAGTAGAAGTTTTAAGCTGACCCAATCGAAGCTGCCTTCGAACATCAGCAACGTGATTTCACCTTTATTTTTTATCTGGCTAAAGTCTTTATTTCAGAAGGATCGAAATCGTCATTCTATGTTCGACCACATATTTCCTTTCAGTCAGAAGTATTACATTTTATTCGTTTTGTGATGCTATGGCTTTATCTCGTGTATACGACACACGTGATTTAATAAACTTGTTGATTTAAGCCGAAGTTATACAAATTATAGAAGATTATTAAGACAATTATTTTTTGTGAAGAGTATTTAGATTCTTCCAGAGTAATTAGGAGTCATCAACTGACTTCCAGATATCAAAATCTAACCTGATGTATCTTCATTTCAGGGAGAAGGTCCCACGAGTTCCCGAAACTCTACTCAAGAAAAGAAAGAGTCTTGAGAAGATCAAGGCAGCCAGGGAGGCAGCCCGGCTTACACAGAAGAAGGTGACAATAACTTAAGTTGTTATAATAGGCATTAGTGTTTTACTGTGCTATATGCTACTTGTATTTTTCATATGAACTACATCTGGGACCTCAGTGATATATTTTCCCTATCCTCACTATTGAAGATATCAACGAGGTCTTTTACAAGTTTTCAGCAAGTTGTTGTCTGTGAATGAAAATTACACGTTGGCTTAAAGATATGAAGTTTATCTTCTTGTGTTGAAAAATATTTCACTTGGTTGATCAACTTCATATCTTCTCACCACTGTGTAATATGTTCTACTTACTTGGCATTGTATGAGATTCAAATGGCTTGCATTTGCACTTATACAATCCAATCATTGGTTACAGTAAAATTATTGTGGGTTTGAATACGAATTTGCTGCTTGCTAAAGAAAATATGTATACCCCTTTGAAGTGCATGATGTTAGTTATAGGACAAGTGGTTATACTTTTGTGAATTCTTTGAAAAGCTGTCATGTTGCTTCACGTTGAAAGGCTTTTAGAATATGACTTTGAATCATTTTATTATAAAACCAAATTTTATTTTTTTGGTTATGGTCTTAAAAGTCAGCTGTAGTGCTTGTCTTGTGAAGAGTGACAGAGAAATCAAATGCCCTCGTGACATCCAATAGGTTGGCCCCTATTGGCTCTGTCTTAATGGTGTATGGGAGCTGAGTGTCTAGCACACATGTTCCTGATGTGTATTCCCTTGCCATGGCGTTGGAGATCAAAACCACCCCCAGTTAATTCTGGTTTGGTGTGGTGCACTGCATATTCCTTGTGCTTCCTAGAGTCATTCTGTGACTTTTACTAGGGAGATAAACCATGCAGTGAACAGCACAAAACTAAACATCAAAATTTAGTTTATGATTGTTTTGATTACAAAAACCAACCCTTAATTGCCCTTGTTTCTGTATTCTCTATCAGACCCAACGTGCCAAAAGAAAGGTTATCTTTAAGAAGGCAGAGCAGTATGTCAAGGAATACCGCCAGAAGGAAAGAGATGAGTTGAGGTTAAAGAAGATGGCAAAGAAACATGATAACTTCTATGTTCCAGCTGAAAACAAACTGGCTTTTGTCATCAGAATAAGAGGGTAATGACTTCTGCTGTAAATGAAATTGCTAGATGCTTTACCAACGTGACATCCAATAGGTTGGCCCCTATTGGCTCTGTCTTAATGGTGTATGGGAGCTGAGTGTCTAGTACACATCTTACTGATGTCTATTCCCTTACCATGGCGTTGGAGATTAAAACCATCCCCAGTTAATTCTGGTATGGTGTGGTGTACTGCATATTCCTTGTGCTTCCTAGAGTCATTCTGTGACCTTTACTAGGGAGATAAACCATGCAGTGAACAGTCATTATCATTTCTTATAAGTTTGTAAGTTGATACAATGCTATTATTGAAACACAAAATGAGGTAATCTAAAAGTGCTATTGAATTTGAATTGTTTAGTATCAATGGAGTCAGCCCTAAAGTGCGCAAGATTCTTCAGCTTCTCCGTCTTATTCAGATCAACAATGGAGTCTTCATTCGTCTCAACAAGGCCACTCTCAACATGCTGAGAATAGTCCAGCCTTACATCGCTTATGGGTAAGAAAAACTCCATGTCTTTGAGACCTAGCATGAGCCAAACTTGAAAGTTTCAAATTGTGCAGATGGTTTGAAATCAGTAAAAAATGCACGAGATAAATTATTTTATCAGAAGATGAAAACTCTTTGTTTGGACCTCAGTGTTAGAATTGGGGCAAGGAGTTGTCTGTTGGTTTTTAGGTTTGAATCAGAGTTAAAATTGCTTTTCCTTACAAAAAAAAAAATTTCTAGTCATTCTTTTCGTATAAAAAAGCAACAGATTTTTAAAGTACAATATTAAGAATAAGTGGAAGATAGTTTCCCAGAACTGCATATCTGACTTGTGGCCAACTTTAAGTATTTCATTTCACAAATAGCTTAAAATCTGGGCAGAAATGTTAATGTTTTTAGAGTTTTCTAGAGCCATGTTTCAGATTGCTTGTGTGTATTTGTGATCAGTCTATTAGAATAATAACAGTGTTTTATTGTATTCCACGTGTTTAAAACAAGTTTTTTTGACAATATGTTGCTTTATTTTAATGTCAACGTTCATTTATTCAGATACCCTAACCTAAAAACTGTCCGTGAGCTCATCTACAAACGTGGTTATGGAAAAGTTGATGGCCACAGAATTGCTCTCACAGATAATGCTATCATTGAAAAGGCCCTTGGAAAGTATGGAATCATCTGTGTAGAGGACCTTATCCATGAGATCTTTACTGTTGGAGAACACTTCAAAGAAGCCAGCAACTTCTTGTGGCCCTTCAAGCTCAGCTCACCAAGTGGTGGTTTTCGCAAGAAGACTACCCACTTCGTTGAGGGTGGTGACCATGGAAACCGTGAAGACCATATTAATAAGTTGGTGAGAAAGATGAATTAAAGCCTGTAAATCTCAAAACTCAATAAAAATGTTTCCATCAATCCAAATGTTGAGTCTCTTTTTGTCTATTTCTTATTAAAAAACTTATAGTACAGTGTAGATCGACTTTGGGATGATAATAAGAAAAGATTTAGGAGTCATTAAAGAGAAAGGGTGTCCATAAAGCATGTATCTGAAGTTCTTGGGTTCATGTTTGGTTATTTTTCTTTGATTGTGTGATTTTTCATCTGGATTCTGCAGATTTCTGCCCAAGAAAACAAAAGAAAATATTTCAAATCTATTGAGTTGGCTGTGCCCTGACTATAAATACTAGGCCAGGAAGGTGATTAGCCCAGAGGTTGTTTCAAGTTTTGATAATGCTCAGATTTTCAATACTATTATAGCTTGTGCAAGGTTTTGTTCCCTCTAAAGGCCGGTCTAGACGGTACGATTTTCGCCTACATCTATCATATACAACACGCTCACGACATCCTACAACTCAAGTCGCAGCCTGTAAATTAAGTCTACAACTCGCCTACAACGGACGTGAGGGTGTTGTATATGAGTTGTAGGCGAAATTCGTACCGTCTAAAGCGGCCTTAAGATGTCAATAAAATGATAATTTCCCTTTTAA